AAGACGGTTTAGGGCTATTAAAAATATAGAGTGGTGTAACAGTAATGTTTTTAAGTTGATAGTATTAAAACAGCCACTTTTTTGCGCCGTAAAATGTATTAATGATCGCCTTTTTCCCGAGAAATATACAGTGAAAGACCATATTTCTAATACTAAACTAGAAAAAGGCGATCATTACTACATCCAAACACGGCACAAGGATCTTTTTTCCCGTTACAATCTTATTCTAAGAAAACTTTAAGTAAAAATGTCCCGAAAAGCCCTCGAAAATACAAACAAAATATGCTCATGCCCCCTGGGCATCATATAATACTCCTTAAATCGAATTAATTCAATATGGCCGCCGTATCTGTAAAAAGGTATATTTTTCACTGCAATATCCTTCGGCGAATTGAAAAATGATAAATCTTTATTGGAATTACCCGTTTACATTTTCTTCAATTTAACATTTGTTACGATCTTTATGCCTTTGAACTCTAGTTCTATTAGTGTAACCCAGGTACTTATGCTTATTTTCGATTTAAAATTAGCGTAACCGAGCACAAAAGAACACAGTTTTTAGTAAAATACTACTGCGCGGCAGATCGTTTCTTATCGTTCGCTGTGCATTATCAAATGTTATCACGGCCATAAGAAGTCGGCTCCGATGTACTACTATACACACGAAGAGTCTGTTTCACCTATTTTGTCGGAAGAAAGGTAAGTACACATTTCCAAAGTTATCGCATTGTACTCTAGAAAAGCGCAGTAACATGGGTGATAAAACAAGTGATTACTTGCCTTTCAGAAGAACATACCTTCTACACAAGATGTCTTCAAGTTTCTTCCGCCTTCATCACCCGCAATGTTCAACATTGGTCGAGTTTTAGAAGCAGCAACCTTCAAAGACCGTTTAATGCACTCTTAGTACGATGATTTACTTACTAAAAAGTTGGTAGACTCTTCAATCTAGTGTGAACTATTGTTGACCAAATAAAGCTTGGGTTGCTGCAGATGGAGTCGACCGAAGGCCCTAGACAGACATATCACGTGACCTACTACTGTTGCTCAAGGGCACGGTTACGCAATTATTTATACTAATTCTTTTTGTTCAATTTTCAGCGTATTTAGGTGAGTACGTAGTAATAAAAAACATTGCAGTTTCGCTCTATTTCCTGTCAGTATTGATTAAAATTTATCATAAGATTGATAAAATTTTAGGGAAGTACATATTTTCGAAATGTTTTCTGGATAAATTTTCGGTTTTAACCGCTTATTTACCGGATATATCTGAACTGTTTACGTTGGACAGGTGCCGCCATGTCGACACCATGATAGAATCTGTAAAGCTTTAACTTATGATTTAGCATTGATAACGCTGTTAGAACAGAGCTGCAGTGAAAACGGTGTTGATCATATGTTATACGTGTTTGTTGGTTATAGGGATATTTTGAAAGTGCTCTCCTGCTGTGCGTTTAGGTTGTTTTTAGCACTTTCTTTTATAGGAGTTAAGCTTAGTATTATTCCTTCCATTACTTAGCACAATTTATGCGAAATAGACCGGCAATGTATGCTTAACTGCGACAGTATGAGAGATGAACAAACACAGCAAGAACTCTCTATCTCGTAAGACGTAAAGGTACACCTTAGTACCTTGATCAGTGCTGATATTTATTTCAGGGAATTGGAGACTGGGACGTCTCGTGTTCAAAACATATACCTTGATGATTTTAATAATAATTCGTGGATATTCTCAATATGAACTTCAAGCTATTCTTTTCTACAGCCAGGAAAGGGGTAAAAAGATGTGAGTAGCGAGTAGTATGTGTACAATTTATTATTAACTCTCACATGACTATCTTTTCCTTGTTATACACCGTATTCACAAATGGCGGACACGCGGGAAAAAACTGGTGCCTAGTCATGAAAGCGAGGCGTTGGAGGATAAACAAAAATTGCAAGTGAAGACTTTCAGTAAACTTGCAGAGTGTTTAGCACGGATTCCACCTAAAAAAACTTTCTACGGACTTCTTTTTAAAACAATTAAGTGGGATGTCTTCTGCTTGTAATGTTTAGTAGCGATTTGCTGTTTGCAATCAAAAGGGACGCGTATATCTTCAAGGAAACAGGATGATTTTGTAGGTTTCCGAAGCATCAGAAGCTCGAAGAGTAGGCGATGGCTGGAGAAAAGCGGCAAACATGTTGGCCCAAACCTCACACTGAAACCGAATATGAAAGCCAGATCACTACAATTCTGTATTGGATCAAATTAATTCCGTCGCTTTGGAGTGAATTGTTAGAGATACGCTGGCAGAGCTTAGCAAAAAATCTCATGATTTCTTTGTCATTGCGAAATAATTAAAAATGATTTTATCAAAATTAGAAGCTGTAGTGTGTGAATCTTATGGCTTGCTATTTGCCTGGCCTCTTTTAGGGCATTATCTCAGAGAGCTCTTGGTAAAAAAAGTGGTATAAAGCTTACATTTTACTAGGTTAAAATTTTAAGGCAATGTTTTTGTCAGGACTGCACACGGCAAGCTTCGGTTTCGAATAATTGAATTCGAGTCTGGATCAGTTTAAGAAGACCATCATTTTATTTATTTATGTATTCTTCAACTTTAAAATATTATGGAACATAAAGTTAAAACTCTTAACAGCCAAAGGTAAGAAATACGAAATTACTCGCTGAAATGATATGTGGCCGGCTTACCGAGTCTGCCGAGTAACAAGTTGAAATTTTGAGCGTACTCCTCGCGATCGCTCCTGCATTTATACCTAAAAAATAGTTCTAATTGATGTCCTTCATTGATAAAGACCAGAGAATAACGTCCTGGCAAACAAAAACCAAACATAACTTCATCGGAACCTCAGTCACCTCTTCTTTCCTGTCTTCCTTTTTTCCACCTCGACTTGAACTGTTTTGTTCAACGGCAGACGTCTCTTGCGTTAACAGTTGCAAGTAGGCCATATATCTGTCGCTTATTTCTTTTTTTCTTGCCACCAAGATTTGTTTATATTTCTGTTTCACCGAATTGCAGTGAGCTGGCTTTCGTATTCGGTTTCAGTGTGAAGTTTGCCTCTTTTCTCCAGCAATCGTCCACTTGTCGAGCTTCTGATGCTTTGGAAACCTACAAAATCATCCTGTTTCCTTGAAGATATACGCGTCCCTTTTGATTGCAAACAGCAAATCGCTACTAAACATTAAAAGCAGAAGACATCCCACGTAACTGTATTTAAAAATAAGTCCGTACAAAGTTATTTTAGGTGGAATCCGTGCTAAACACTCTGCAAGTTCACTGAAAGTCTTCATTTGCAATTTCTGTTTATCCTCCAACGCCTCGCTTTCATGACTAGGCACCAGTTTTTTCCCGCGTGTCCGCCATTTGTGAATACGGTGTATACGGTTTGTAAAATGACACATCAGTGGAATTGCCTTACCAGCAAAGTGGCACCGGTGAACACTCGAGTACACCTACTTACATGGCCTTCGGCCCTCCTACTGGTTCACAAGTTTACCTGCAATACACCAACCCTCTACTCATGCCTTGTATGTCATCAGTTAATAGCAGTGGTAGTGAAGAGCCAGTTGAATCAGGTAAAGAAAAGAAGTTGTGGAATAAAGACGAAGTTCTGTGCCCAAGAGGAAAGATAATTTACGCAAGAGGAAAGATAATTTTAAAAACCCAAGAATGAGGAGCAAGGATATCTGGCATTATATTTCCCTTGAAATGCAGGCACAAGGATATGTATCTTGTGTTGCAAAGTCTCAGTGTGAGACCAAGTTCAAAAATTTTACAAGAGCATATACTGCATGCATCGACCGCATCAGTAAAACAGGAAATGATGCAAAGAAGTGTGCATATTATGAAGAACTACATGGTATATTCCATGGTGACGACAACATCAAACCACCAGCTGTGTTCAGTAGTAGAAAGGAGCTGGTGAAGAGAGGAAAAGAGGGAACAGAGAAATCAACAGAGAGGGAAGATGCAGAGTGCTCTGAAAGTGATGACCATGAAGATGCCATTAAGAAGAAAAAACCAAGAGAGAAATCCCCAAGTGAGAGAAGCGAAAGCGAAGTTGAAAAGAAAGAGGAAAAGGAGGAACAGAAATTGCAGAAACTGACTGAAGAACTGCACAATAAAAAAATGACTTTCCTTGGACAGTTTCCAAAAGTATTTGAGAAATCTGTACAGGATAAATGAAGTCTTGCGTTCTGTTCATGCTGTTGTTTTTTTAATAGGGTAAGGTTTGTGTTTCACTGTAAAAAACTGTCAAGAGATATTTAATGACATAATTATCAAAGGAAATAATCTACTACCCCAATACAATCTGAAGTAGTTACCAGTAGGATGCTTCTTTTAAAGTTGTTGTTTGAGCATTCTGTATATATACTTTTACTAGTTATGCAATAATAAATCAACTATTGGTCCGCTCATAGTTTTATGTATTACCTCCTTGCCCATGTAGAAAGTGTCAAGGAAGATTTATCATTATTCCATTCCTCTTATTGTCAGCATCTGCACCACCATCATCATCATCGTCACTGCCATCATCATCACTACCATCATCCAAGACGTCATCAATGTTGCCATCATCAGCAATTATGCAAATGTTATGTCACAGACACATGTAACTACAATTATCACCGGTGCGTCCTAAATCTTGTCCATCTCTATTTGTGTCTGTCTTCCTAAATCTACCCTTATAGAGACTGAGGGATCTTTCTACAATCATTCTTGTCGAGCTGTGAACAAAATTATATCGTCTTTGCCTCCTGGTGAGACGCCCATTGTCTCGAAAAGGGGTAAGCACCCACATCTTTAAAGGGTATGCAGAGTCACCAATCAGATGGGTATTTCTTGGAAATAAGACGTCTGGATTTGCTTCAGCATCTTGGAAAATGGATGAATTTCTGAACACTCTGGCATCATGTACAGAACCAGGATAACTACAAAACACACTAGTGAATAGCACGTCCGCATCGCAAATTACCTGTAACTGCAGCGAGTGAAACCCCTTACGATTTATGTACTGTTCTGGGTTTTTCCGCGGTCGTTTGACTGGAATATAAGATCCATCGATAGCACCCAAAACACCAGGAAATCCCCATTTTTCCTCAAATCGTTGTTCCACTTCTCTTGCTCGTTGACCTGAAGGAAACTTGATTAACTGACCGGGCAGATTGTTGACAATCGCCCCACATACTCGGCGATAAACTCGAAATGCACTTGATTTTGTAATGTCAAATCTGTCTGCTACTGACCCCTGGCATTCAGGGTTCCCAAGTATTCATAATGTAATCAAAACTTGCTTCCGTAAGTCAGTGGTAGGTCTTCCACCATTTTTATGTTCATAGGGAAGATCTGGGCAAGAAGCTAGCAAGCCTTCCAAAAAAGTGACTGTAGTGCGAAGTCCGAAAGTCGACTTCGAAAAATCTGACAAACTATAGAGCGGTATAATTCGTTCAAAGTAACCGTCAATGCGGATATGGTTTTCTCTGTCCTTGCTGGTAATCAACAGAAACAAAAGAAATTCCTTATCTCCCCATCATAACTGCTTGCTTCTAGTAGCGTTGAATCATCATTGAGTTCATCCATTAATGAGAGAATAACTGCACTATTCACGGCGGTCATGTTGTGTTTATGTTTTCAAGTTTTGCGCATTCTTTGCGGTTTTCATTAGATCCCATCGACCGTTGCCCCCCTCGGACACTTCATGAAATTTACACAACGTAGCTTTCCCCTTTACTAATTAGGGTTATGCATCAGTCAATTCCAGCTGCGCCCAGCCCCCTCCCCCCTCCCGCCTGACCCCCGGGCATTAGCATTTTTTTGCCTTGGATGGCAATCTTCCGGGGGTGGGGACTCTTGAGCTGTCAAATCCCCCGGGGTGGGGACGAAAAAAGAGGGCAAATGCCCCGTACGTCCGTCAACACTGCAACCTTTTCTATTGATCGCACAGTCGAATAGTGCCGTTTTAAAGATTGTAATGTGCTATTTTTTTGTTTCAATTAACGTCTTCCTTTGAATTAGAGCCAAGATTCTAATTAAAGCTTCACGCCGCGACGACATGGACCAGTTTGTAATTTTAGTATTGATGTAAAAATATTGACATAAATCAATAGAGCGCTGTTAAAATATATTTTATGAAAAGTTTTATAAATATTGAGGTTGTTTTTCAAATAATATCAACAGAAATTGGATTTAATAACCAAAAAACGATGATTCACGTCGATAGCTCCCGATTTCGCTATGTAATTCTGGCTTGATAAGCAATTAAGAAATGCATGCATAAAATCAAGAACATGCCCGCTTTACAACCCTCTTCAATTTTTTCCTCACGCTGTCCTTGACAGATGAGCCAATCTGCTTTCTTTCCCATTAAAACCCTCTGTGTAGTTATTTTGTGATAGGAAACCGCGGCGTGTCAAAATCTCTGGAATGGCCCCGGGGTGGGGGGTGGGCAAATGCCCGCCTCCTGGGCAGCACAAAATTTGCAAATGCCCCAACCCCGGGACTGACAAGGCAGGCAAATGCCCCGCAGTAGCCCGTGTGGGGAGGGGGGGGGGCTGGGCGCAGCTGGAATTGACTGATACATTAAGAACTGCCTTTTACAGATTAGGGTCAAGCACTGCCTTTACAGATTAGAGTTAAGCACTGCCTTTACTGATTTTAGGGTTAAGCACTGTTTCGAAACTGGTTAGGTTCTTTTTTTAAGTTTGGGTTGATGCTATATGTAATTAAACTATTTCACCTCCATCGATCAAATCTTCAGTGGTCTAGTGGTTAGCGTAGTACACTGGACAATCTGGGTTCGAATCCCATTGTTTTCAAATAAAGTATTTTCTTTCAAATTGAAGAGACTTGCACTTTCGTGAACATTTCCAGCTTGAAATATCATTTAAGTATGATATAAAAGCAGAAAACATTTCTACCTTGTGTAAATTTCATGAGAGGAGAAAGGGACTACGGCCGATGGGATCTTATGCTCACCCTTTTTTTATCCCCTGACGCGCGCTTGTATTTCGCGCCTGCTGTCATGGTAACTGATCAAACGAACCAAAATTTCGTTCCTTTCTTGTGCTATGATCTGAGTGATCTGTGATCAGTGATCTTGATCCGGATCCACCCAAAGGAACAAACCCTGAATGGCCAGCTTGATTAAAATGTAAGGAGGCAGGAGTGGATGTTTGTAAAATAAGGAAACGGACGGTGGATACGGACGGCGGATGGCGGAAGGCGGAAAATAATAAATAAATGAATAAAAATAAATAAATAAATAAATAAATGTATAAGATAAATATATAAGATAGATAAATAAATAAGACAAATAAATAGAAAAACAATTCAAAATATTAGAAACATAGATATTAGTTCTGACACCTCAGGATCGTCGGAGAGAAGATAAATAGAGGAGGCAGTTTTGTAGTTTGCTGGAATGTCACTTCCAACTCGTGGCTGGGAAGAAAAGATCTGTAGTTTCTGTCGCTTCAGTTTGCGAAATTATTTTGCAATATTTAAGGTCCGTGCGGTGATTTCGAAGAGAATGGACAAAAGAAACCACGCTTGGCCGAGAGGTAAGTTAATTTTTGCGGCATCTTTTTTATATATACATTTGCTGTTTGCCGCAGCCCACTCCTTTAGATCTCTTCCGATCAACTGACTCCGATTATATAACAAACGCACAAACAAAACTTTAAAAGGTAGAAGAGCGGGTTCGGTCTCTCGCCTAGATTCAAGCCTTTTTGAAGAAGGGTGAGAGGAGAGATAGCTTTAAAAAAAGCTTGGGGGTACTCCCTTATAAAGATAGGTATGTGCCGCTCCAATATATAGGGGTTTTGGCGTTTTGCGCCGTTTTGATCTGAAAACGGGTATAGACTTTGCCCAATTTGGTCTGGAATCGGGTATGCATGGTTTTCGAGGAAACTACGGGAGTGTATGAACGTATTTGTCGGTTCAATTCCAAACGAGGCTTTTAGCCACTCAGAATCGGGAAATATATTTAAATGAATAATAATGAAATTTATACTGACTTCAAGTCTTATTCTCCTTCAGTACCTTGTCTATTTTGACTCTGCAATAAATAATCAAAACCCGTGAACCTTTTGACAAATTTACACAAAAATCTGTTTCAGCCAAACGTACAACTTAATTATAAGCCGTCGAATAATTACTGTTTTGCAGAAGAGTAGCTGGTACATCTAAAAAAAAACCTATCGTGTTCATAAATTGATTACGATCTCGTGTTTTTCAGTGTTACTCCTCGTAATGAGTTGGCCAAGGTTGGGTTATTTTTTTATCGTGCCAAACTAAACTGTCGAGTTTAAACGTCACTGTCGATTCACCGGCAAATTAATATGGTTTTAACAATAGCCTCCTTAAGCACGGTTAAGTTTCCATTTTAACAATTATTGTAACACAGTAAAAACCCCGCGACTCTTAAGAACCTGGATTTTAAGAACCCCTTCAATATAAGAACCTGGTCCACCAGGTTCTTGTTTTCTAAAATCTATGAAAAAATTCTGTACACTTAGGCAAATACGATAAGTCAACATTCAGAATCCTGATTGGAGACACCGATGCCTTATCCCCGAGGGCGGATTCAATTAAACCAGTAGTTGCCTTTGGTTTGTGGAAATTCAGAAATTATATTCATTTTTCTCATGCCCCTTTTTGGACGGAAGGCTTTTAGAGGTTGATAAACAACCAAAACAAAGAGTGAGGCAGAGTCCAGTCCAGAGTAAGAATTCATGGTTTTCCGGCTGGCCGGAACATTGCGCCCTACAGCCACTTCAGCAAATACCCGTGAGTAAGAACTTTGAATTTTAAGAACCTGCTAGCAGAAATTTGCCATTTTGCCATTTTGATACCCAAAGACTCTGAACCCTATCCAAGTAAGACAGAGCAGGTTCTTATACGTTAAAGCTAAATTATGATAAACATTTTTACCAAGAAGTTTGACTTTGACATTGCAAAATTTATATTTAGAAACTGCTATATTTATTAACTTTATCTATTTATTCATTTAATTTGATTATTTATTTGATTATTATTTTTTTTAATTTTGTTTTTTAAATTATACAATCCTTGTTATAGAGATTGTATTTTTGGTTTAGCAAAACTTACTTTACGCGTTCTTTAGAAGTCATTATTAGACAAAAGTGTTTTGGGGAATTTAAGAGGTATTTCTTGTTTCTTTCTGATCCGCAGTTATTGTTTTTTTAAATAAACGTTACTGTTGGGCTGGAGAATAGCAGGTAATCAAAAGAGATTATCAAAAGAAAAGTATACTCACCGGAATTTTCCGCAAAATAAGTTTTCCGTTGTGATACTTCTCGTCAGAAATGAACACTTTCAGCTTCAACTCTTTAAGGCCAAGGATTTCTAAGACCTCATCTGTCACCAGCGTTTCTTGAACCACTTGATTAAGGTGACCACTGATATAATCTTCCCACAATCCTTCAAGGATCTGTAGTGAGCTACATTTAACAGCTATCGATAAGCTTCCCAGTTCAATGTCTTCAACAAGAGCATTCAGATTATTTCTTAAATATCCAAAAAGTAATCTGAAAGAGTCTTTGAAAGACATGATAACGCTCCAAATGTCTGACTCTGCTGGAATTTCCTGCTGATTGTCTTTCATTTCACTAGGGGCGACCACTAATCCAAACTGAGCGATCCTTTCGATGGTATTCACAAGCTGTAGCATTGCTGTTGGAAAAAAAAGAGCAATTGAGCACCATTCTCGACTATTCAGTAAGGACGATTTGAACATATAAACTAGAAATACGTAAATCGCAGGACCTCGCGAAGGACTTCGGGGGAACGGCAAGCGATTTTCGCTCATATCTAAGGTTAATTATCCAAAATCGCTTCAATTTACTCATAAAACTACTTTAGCATTCGAAATTCATTGAGTGATGTTCTTTCTGCTCCGCTGTGTGTTGCTGCCGTCTCCTTCTTCGTTGCTCGCGGTGAACTTCAAGTCGACCTTCTCGCTCCAGAGGTTTTTCTGTGTCAAATCTTCTCCTGCGAGGATCTACAATCGGCGTTCTTGTGCTTGCTGTTCTGTTCCCTTTGCATAAGAAAGTGCTTGAGATTCACCGATAGTAAACTTTGTTTCGCAGGCGATGAATAAACAAGCTAGCTCTTCATGAATACTTTGGTCATTGAACGGAAATCGCTGTCAGTCGAATGTTGCCTAGAAACAAAAAATGCGCCGTGACGTCAAACTACTGTATGACGTCATGGCGGAAACCATCGGATATACACAAGTAAAGATGAGCGCTGCGAGCTTGCAGCTCGCTAGGATCCACGTGCGGTCCACGCACTGCGCGCGCTTCGCGCGCGACGAGATTATAAATTTACTTCGCTCGGCGCTTCGAGAGGACTTACTTACTTGCACAACATTAGGGAAACACTGTAAAGAAATGCTACAATTTTATTTTCAGGATGTTTCGCTTTATTCTGCCGCGCGTTAGCTTCTAATTCCCACGCAGACGTTTTCAGGGGAGCTTGTATTTCGTCCCTCCCCTACGCCTGCTCAACCGCGAACAACATTCCTTTCCCATTGCTTTATTCGCGTGGTAAGTAACCAATCAACAGTTTTGAAATAAAATGGTGACAGGCTAAACACCACTCGTAAGCTCGTTATAGTGTAAAACCGTGACCCTAGAGTTTCCTTTTTTTCTTCTTTTCTTTCCTTCGCTAAGGTTATGCAGTGCACGCGGTATTGTAAAATCCTACTGAGTAAATTATACTTTTTGCCGCTCTGAGTCTAACATTTATTAGAGGTCATGAAGCTTTCTCAGTGTTTCTTGTACGTCGAGTAATTATCGGGTTACCCAGCGGTCAAGGTCAAAATGTGATTGGCCCAATTGGGGAAAGGAATGTTGTTCTCGGTTGAGCAGGCGTTTGTTGGGAGGGACGAAATACGAGCTCCCCAAAAACGCCTTCGACAAATACGGTGTCTGTGCGCAGGTTCTTTTAGTTGCGCAGAAAATATTTCCTAATATCATGGCATTGTGGTATGCATTTCTTAGGGCTGAATGGAAAAAATTAATAATTGAAGATTTTATTAAATATTTAACGTAACCCGCTACCACAAGCAACCGGTACACTGACCTACTTGCTGACCCCTTACGTCATCTTTTATTACTCTGAATTCCTCCTGAATAAGTGCTTGTAGCGCTTTTTCGTTTTGAGCAAGTTCTTGTACTGCTTTTTTTAGGTCCAAGTCTTTTTCGTACCATAACCCTAGCTCTTCGGCATATCTCTCTTCCTCTGGCGTTAAGGGCTCAAGGAGAAATTTGTCAATAGCATCTTTCCAGTTGCTTTGTTCATGAGAGCTTAGGCTTCCTGCAATCCTCAACAGCGATTCACTTATTTTCCTCCACAGGTCAATAAACTGATCATCTGGTATTTCCAAACTTTTGGAGTGACCATAAACTTCATTGCGATAACATTTTAATCGCGCCAGGTCTGCTTCAAGAGTGTGGTCTGAGTCGTTTGGTAGGCTATCCCATCCTGTCAGGGGAGGGGTAAAATTGCATATTGTTCGAAGCAGTCTGAAGATTAAACTGACGTCAAAATCACTTGACTTGCCGTATATCCCCGGATAAGGGTACAGACATTTCCATTCGGGACAGGTAAGCCTTGCTGTTTTCAGCTGTCTCTCTACTGATGGGTTACTGAGAATTGTGGGAAGGTTAGTAGGACTGTGAATAGAGTCGAATTTCTCCCTTAAAAGTACTGCACCACCGCTCATCAGAAGCCGTGTCAAGCGCTGAAAATTGGCTTTTGACTTTGTTGATCGTAACACTTCTTCGGCGTCTTCAAGGGAAGCCATGCGGGTTTACAAGAAAAAGCACAAGTTCCAGTTGATCAGAAGTTGAATATCAAGTGCTGAAACGGAAACAAAGTTCTGAAAGTTGTGACATGTTAAGCACAATAAAAACAGTAGCTGTTAATTGATTGATGATGTGATTCTTGTCAGGACAGAAAACATGTGTACGCTAGTACAATCCTGGACAAAAGTCATTGGGACAGTGATACAGAATTCGCGCTCTTATAAAGCAACGCAACCTTCTTAGAGGTATCTTGCAGTTCTCCCTCCCCCTCCCCACACCCTATAAAATGTTGAAACTCGGGAAACTTCTGGATAGATGCGTCCAACCCTGTTTATGGGGTTGGAGGGGGAGTTGGTATGCGCTATTTAAAGTTAGCCTCACAAATTATGCAAATATGTCCCAAGACGAATTTATTCCTGATTGTAGTTCTGGATTTCGCTCAGACTTCTGTATTTTTTTTCGGAATACGGTGAGGGTTAATTGACTTCAATCACTTTCATTGAGCTCAATTGTTCCAACAGATTTTGTGAGAGGGTAAGTATAATTACCAATTCCAGTCGAGATTAGGTCGATTAGTGGATCTTACGGTTTGCTCCGAGTAGTTGCCTTAGGATTATACACCCGTCACCCATGTTGAAGACTTGGGGCTCTCGGATTCATCGTTCCAAAGTGGTCAGTTTCGTAATCCTCAAAATCGTATTCTGAATATAGAGTGTTTAATCTTCCATTTTCTTCAGAGCCGCTGCCAGAGCCGCTCGCTGACCACGTGACTAATCGAAACAGTGGGCTCTGGGGACTAGTCTCACAAATATCGTGTGAGCAAGTACTTTGGAGTAGTTTAGATGACCAGATATGCTGGCTCAGCGAATACCATGTTGCAAGAGCACCGAACATAACGTTAAATGAACGGACTCGTCGAGCACCGAGTAAGAAGTTGTTTGCACCGAACCAGCTGCTAAACTGACCAGAAATCAGGTGCAAACTGACTACGGAAAAAGCACTGAGCATAGGAAACTAGCTACCGAATATAAAGAAAGCTGCACCGCTATCGATTGATATGTGGATCTGATAAATCTTACTCTGAAAAGCTCACTGAACTAAACTGGTCAACATTGGAGCTTAGAAAGAAATACCTTTGCTTGGTTCAACTATACAAGATAATTCATTGGCTATTCTTATATTGACTATACCACATATGTGGATCTGACTGGCCCTATCGCAAAATTCTTCCAAATTTGGTTGCAGTACAAGAACTAAGAGTAACCATGACTTTAAAGTGAGGCCTAAAGCAGCAAGGACAAACTACTTTAAATTTTCATTTTCTAATCGTTACGTTAATGACTGGAACTCTTTACCGAACTCCGTCATGTCTGCTTCCACCTTGAGCTCTTTTAAAATGTTATTACTTAATTATCTTTGTAAATAGCAATATTTTTTTCTTTCTTACTGAATTTGGATTTTCTTTTTTTTATTATGTATTATCTAAGTATTTTAATTAGTTTTCTTATATAATGTATAGTTATATATACTATTTTAGTAAAATCCAACCAGTGGTCCATTATCAATGCTGCGTTCCGATTGGTTGAGCTACTACTAGGCTATATGTTATAGCCCACTAGTAGCGAAAAACGCCGGCTTTGAAAACCAAAACAATGGCGGTTGAATCGTGTTTTGCTAGCTAAAGGTATTTTGTCTCAATTTTTTTGACCAACCAGTTGGATTTTACTAAAACAATTATTCCTCTTGCCCTCACTGGCCTCTGAGTCAATAGCCCATTCGGGCTCAAGGAATAATTGTTAACTAATCATATTATATTGTTTTATCTTTTAGTTTTGGAGGGCAGTTTTTATATGGGAATTCAGTTTCCCCCTATTGCTTTCCTTTACCAACTGTACTTTATATATATATATATATATATATATATATATATATTTTTTTTGTTGTACATTGTTAATAAGCATCATTAAACCTTAAACCTTAACCAATGGAACTCATGAGATCTCGTCGTGCGTAATTTGTTTATGACAGAAATTGTAATCGAATTGGATTACCGCCACGGGGTCATGCACCTAGCAGAGTTCCTGTGAAGAAGTTAATAACACAAAGGGAGAAAAGAAAGGGTATTTGTATGGAAGGGTATGCTGAAAAATATCATTTCTTACTATTCCTCCCCATTCATAATTAATCCACACCCACGACCCCGAAGTTTACGCTCCATAACGTCTTGTTCGGCTCTCACTTCGTCAAATAGCCGAGCTTTAGGACATTCCTGAGCGTCGCGAATCCTTCACTTCGCGCTCCGTCGAAGTAACAAGATGGCGGACTGACTTTTTACAGAGGAACGCATGAACATGTGCCCGGATAGTGTTCGTGTAAGCTAGTCTAAGGCATACTCGTTACAAAGCCAACAATTATAGCTAATAAGGACGCGTAACTTATAAACAAAATGAACCAGCCAGCCGTGTCACAGTGTCACAAGACGAGGGCAAGTTGAGTAATTATGCTATACAATATAGTATAATAATATGTGAGCTGTTTTGACTTCATTTTAACCTGTAAGTATAGTGATTTCACGGTTCATACTTTTCCCATTTTAGAGTTCAGTTTCAATTAGCTTTTAATCTAAAATTACCCTTCTAGAAACCGATTTCGGACGTTTAAAGTACACCCTTTTATCATTCGCGTGTGATCAGCGATAACATGCTAAACTGGCAATGAGTGACTCATTATTTCGAGATTAAATTTTGGTAAATTGTGTTAAAAACTCGTCAAATAAAGTATCTGAGAATCTCACAGGTGAATACAATTTATCTTATCTAGACATCACCAACCTATTGTTTACTCCCCTGTACAGACGAGATCAAGCTTCATTCCACTATTCGGTGTGGTAACAGCGCAGCGTCGATCAGGTTCTTCCTGATTGGCTATTATCTTTTATGGGCAATAACTGTAGCATCCGAATCATGTCACGAAAATAACGCTTTTGTATTATGATAGATAGCGTCCACCAACCACTGTTATTTTTCACCATGATATTATTTTACCTCCTTGGGGGGCGTCGATAAAACCCGGAACATGGAACATTCCGGAACATTCCGGAACACCCCGGAACATCCCGGAACATGAAAAAATAAAAATAATTTTCATGAAAAAAAATAAAAAATAATAATAATAATAAAATAATTTTTATAAAAATTAATAATAACGTAAAATAACAAAAAACCGAAAGAGAAAGAACTGAAGAAAAAGAAACTCGTATCATCTCCGGGTATGAGAAAACAATATTTTGTCGCAAATAATTTGTGGGGCCAGGGTCTGCGGAATGACAGTAATTAGTGAAGATTTGCTTCTAAATTCAAAATATATTAAAATGGGTCGCGAGGAGGGGGGGGTTTCAAGCTTTTCTCACACAGCCACCCCTGGTAAATGTTTGCCATGCGGTTTAACGGTTATTCATCTACGGCTTTGCGACCGTAAGAAGAGCTTAGGGGCTCGTCGCTTTGGACTTTAGTAGATAAGTTTCACATTCGCCTTGAATCAGTTGCAGTGGCAGTGGTAGCGTAGCGGTAGTTTCTAACTGTTATCAGTTAGCCTGAATTGTATCCGTCTCCCGAGTCGCAAGTGAAGTTTGCGACTCGAGGAGATGGCTGAAATTCAAGCTAGATTATAACCCTCTATTTTCCCCCGCCAAGTTGAAGATTGCGATCGCCGCTGTCAAAGTGATTTGGGCATCCTCTGACGACTAAACTGGTGAGAGTGAAGTGGGTGCTAATTCGAATGGTTTGCTAATGTGTGTGTGTGGAGCTACAACTTTTATGGAAGGGGCTGTTGTGATTCCCGTGATCATGCAGATCCACACAGACATCCTATGCCTGTTTCAGACCCCAGACAGGACACTGACACGACGGAACCAAGTGCTCCGAGATGATGATATATTTAGCAAGGTGGAACAAAAAAACAAACAAACAAAGACGGACTTTCCTTTCTATTCACCTTTGGCCCGGACACGTGACAAACGAACACTGTGATTCAGTGAATTTAACTGAAAAATAGTGTTTTCAAAAATAACAAGTCGCATAAACCTTCAAGTGTCTTCGATAAATTAGGCTTGGGCTCGAAATATAGGGGGGGGAACAGCGTTTCAGCACACAGAATGAAAAAAAAATGCAACGTCACAGGGGATGCCCAAATTAAATCACAGCGGCGATCGCCATCCTCAACCAGGCGGGGAAAAAGAGGGGACTGTAAACTAGCTTGAATTTCAGCAGTCTCCACTAGTCGAAAACTCCTCCTTGCGACTCGAGGAGACGTCTGAAATATCAGGCTGATTTAGACTGTTCACAGTCCTCTATTTTTCCGTAAGATCATCGAGATCGAGAGCTTTGCGTTACGGGCTACCCATCTTGCATGAGCGTCAAAACTACATAGAGTCCGAATAGAGGGCGGGGGCGGTTCGGTTCGGTTTGAAAATCAAGATAGCCGTGACGGTAAGACAAGGTATATCTAAACGATCTCACGAAAAAATAGAGGACTGTGAACAATCTAAGGCTGATTGTAAACAGTATAGAAACTACTACGAATGTGAGTATTGTCAACTAAAATCGAAAGACAGGAGCCCCTTAGCTATTCTTATGTTCACAGAGCCTAGTCTGTAAGTAACCCATGTCAACCTCAAGAAAGCAAAGCACCAAGTAAGCACATGTCGGTTATATATAACTATTTGTTCGCTTGACATGAGTTACTTGATTACCGACTTGGCTTGACATGACATACTGCACCGACATTTCAGACCATCGCAGAACCGTAAATGGTTAACCGCCAAATGACTAACTCATGGCAAACAATTACAAGAGCTGGATGTGTGAGTAAAGCTTGAAAACCCCCCTCCTCGCGACCCATTTTAATATATTTTGAATTT